TATAAAATCCGAAATCGAAAACTTTATCTAATACATGCTCTGACGAGACGACTACCTTAAGAAGTAGTCTACCACGTAAGGCAGTTGGCTCACGATCCAGAGGTCCCGAGTTCGAATCCCACCAAGGTAAGTGTGTTTTTATATGTGTTTTTAAATACGAGAAAATATTTATAATCATAGACTGCATCTTAAAAAACAAATTTAGTTATAAAATAGTAATAAAATTTCAATAAAAATAATTTTTTTTTATGCCGGGTGAATATCAGAAATCAGTGTCTTCTAGTATTAAGAGGTTTTTTTTGGGTGAGTATAATTCAATACTATGCACCAGTAGTTCTCTATGTAATAAATTACTACCAGTAATCCAGTACTGCCCAGTTCTTCTAAAGTACTCGCCAAAATATTAAGACGTGAGACTTTCACGTAAATTCCACGTCGAATTGATGATCTCATCCACGTGGATCCGACTACCGTTTTTAAGCGGATAATCCACTCGATTGTCTACGTGAATTCTACGTCGCTGGTCTACATGAAAGAAACGTGGATTCCACGTTCCTGTTTTACTGGGGGGACCGCCGGAGATAATGACCGAAATAGATAGTTGGCGAACACGAAACGCTCCGAGGATGAGGGAAGAACAAAGTTCACTCAGTGTTATTTCTTTTCATTTGGTAGTATCAAGTTTCCTTTTTCCTTTGCGTTATTATGAAACGACCCCATTCGGCGCAATTATAGATTAGGGATAGAGATAAGTTTGCATTGCGAGTCGTTCTACGGCGAAGCTCGCCGAACCATCGCCCCATTAGGATATAACATGGTGGAAGAAAATAAGGTGAGGCAATGCGCATCATGAGTTTCACAGCCAATAGAGAACGCCGCACAGTTGTCGGCCATTACTAGCTGTCATTCAAACAAATAGGAATGGATAGGAAAATCTCTCAAAATCACAATTACTGAAAAATTATTAATTTTTCATAACAAATGGAAATAATATCACGAAAACGAGCTTCCATAAGGAAACCATATTTTTCTATGGCATCAGTTTTGGAGGAAACAGATTTCTTTACCAATAAACAAGTCATTTTGGAAAAATTATAAATCAAACTTATGAAAAAAAGACTATCGACGAGTAATAAGCATTCGTAATTGATGAATAAAATCGAAACTATGCTAGTCAACAAGTATTGCTAATAAATATAAATCATGTCACAAAAGATAGTTTCAGAAATGGTCAGTATGGTGTAGCGGCACGTATTCTGCTTTGTATATTTTTGACTCGGGTTTGAATCCCCACTGTTTCTTTTTTTTACTGACCCAGTTGCAATTAATGATAATGAATCAGGCTGATTGAAGAAAATTAATTAGAAAACGATTATCACTCACCTATTTACCTTTTTTTTTTTAATCTCTTTAGAATTTATTTGGCTATGTCATTGACTAGAATCAGAATGTTTCATTGAAAATTGTGATTTATAGCAATAAAGTAATTTAAAAAAGGATAAAATTTTATAACTAGCGGCGTTTCTTTTGGACTTTCACTCAACGGTTCCCTCCACAACCAATTTTCAAAAATTTTTAATAATAAGAAATGTTGAATGTTATTATTGAAAGATGAATAAATATTTTTCCAAAATCCAATGCTAAAAATGTAGAATACCTTAAAAAAAACTGAAAATTGGCTCTACAAAAGATAAATCCCCTCTTGATATTTTATTCTAAATCACCTGTTTATGGGAAAACAGGAAGCAAAGAGTACATTGTAATGCATCGTATAATAATTTTCTTAAAAAACAAGAAAAATTGAATATTGAATTACTTTTCAATATATCCATATTTATTATTCAATCACAATACAGAAACACTTTTTTCAAATAACACGATGTAAACTGTAAACAACTTTTACCAATGCGTGCTTGCCATGCTTCACTCATATGCTACACTGCGTAACCACGTGTTAGCGAAAAAAGAAGATGGCGGAAACTGTGCGGATCCCCCACCATGCCTGGGCTGCGCAGAACAGAACGAAACTCGTCACGAGGATTGCCTCACCTTATTTCCTTTCACCATGGGATATAATATTTATTCAGTACCCGTCGATTCAAATTTCCGTGAGTTAATACGGCTCAAGCCCGAAGTCAAAATTGTTCATTTTGTTTATGCGGGAATCGTCGCGCAACACTGCAGTAAAGCTCGAGCCAAATACACTCTCCAGGAAATAGTCCAGGAACTAGCGGAATTTTAGGTGACTAATTTTCTTACGCCTGAAATTTTTTCCACGAGTTATTATGGTCATGTCTGCCAAATGTAGACAGGTGGCAGAGTCTGTCCGCGGGACATAGAGCGAACAGAATTTTTGTAATTTGTATTAATTTCCAAAGACATTGACTGATTTCATTACAGCTGATTTTTTTACAGTTGATTATTTAAACCATTTCAACAAGAAAAAATGAGTTGTCCGACAAAAAAGTTGGGACATGACCCGTGTCTGCCATTTGGAATTGGTAATTTTTTCTTTGACTCTTGACTGATTTTCTTACAGCTGAATTTTATTTTACAGTTTAATAATATATTAAGGATGAAGTATATAACCTTGTCCGACAATTTTAGTGGGACAGAACCGTTCTCTGACGTCTTTGTTATGTTAATTAATCATTAATGTTTGACTAATTTTCTTACAGCTAATTTTTATGGTGTATTTTTAAAATGCCAACAGAAAGACATTGATATATTCGTCCGACATTTTGGGTGGGACAACACGATGAAAAGCAGAAAAATCTTATACGCGGCTTAACAGAATACAGTTTCTCAGTTGTTGCGACAAATAATTTTAAATTAAGAGCTTTACATATAATTTATATAAGGTACCTATGAATAAATACAATTTTTATATATATAGTCACAGCATTATCATTGCTAGAGAGCTAACATGTCCCAATATTTTCATCAGACACGTGTGAAAATCGAAAGTATATAAAATTTCAAAGAATTTGACAACTTTGTCCGACAGAAATACTCCAGTAAATAGTATCACATGTCCAATAATAATAATCACAACATTATTTTTGTCAGAGAGCAAATATGTCCCACTATTTTCATCAGACACGAGTGAATATCGTTAGTATATAAAATTCCAAAGAATTTGACCACTTTGTCCGACAGAAATACTCCAGTAAATAATATCACATGTCCAATAATAATATTTACAATATTATTATTGTCAGAGAGCAAATATGTCCCACTATTTTCATCAGACACGAGTGAATATCGATATATAGTATATACAATTTCGAACAATTTGACCACTTTGCCCGACAGAAATACTCCAGTAAATAATATCACATGTCCGATAATCATATTTTCAACATTATTTTTGTCAGAGAGCAAATATGTCCCGATATTTTCGTCAGACACGTGTGAAAATCGAAAATATATAAAATTTCGAACAATTTGACCTCTTTGTCCGACATAAATACTTCAGTCATTAATTGATGATTAATTAACATAACAAAGACGTCAGAGAGTGGTTCTGTCCCACTAAAATTGTCGGACAAGGTTATATACTTCATCCTTAATATATTATTAAACTGTAAAATAAAATTCAGCTGTAAAAAAATCAGTCAAGAGTCAAAGAAAAAATTACCAATTCCAAATGGCAGACACGGGTCACGTCCCAACTTTTTTGTCGAACAACTCATTTTTTCTTGTTGAAATGGTTTAAATAATCAACTGTAAAAAAATCAGCTGTAATGAAATCAGTCAATGTCTTTGGAAATTAATACAAGTTACAAAAATTCTGTTCGCTTTATGTCCCGCGGACAGACTCTGCCACCTGTCTACATTTGGCAGACATGACCATAATAACTCGTGGAAAAAATTTCAGGCGTAAAAAAATCAGTCACCTAAAATTCCGCTAGCTCTTGGACTAAAAGGGGAGGCGCTCGATGGAGTACCCATGACGCCTCTCCGCGACAGGACGGACGAGCAAGGACCGTATTCTCGAGCCTGCCCTAATGATTTTTGTATGCAACTTTCTATTTGAAAAGCATTGAATTTCGCATGCGAGTTTCATGAAAACGATTCAAGAATAGGGCCCCAGGGCACGTCCGCACAGCGAGCGAACACCCGGTTCGCGGATTAGCGCACCGGGCACTTGAACGGGGGTGATAACCATCCCTGACGCACCACCATCCCACAAGGGTCAGTCAAGACATAGCGGCGTCACGAGACAACCCTGCCGGCACTGGTACGTGTTAAAAACGTCATTATGACGTGTTAACTCGTCACACGTTACGTTACAGCGACGTCTCAATTGGTGTTCGAAACGTAATTGCCACGTTGCTGTGACGTAACTAACAGCCAAATTCTTGGTGACAGAAACGTTGTAGTGACGTGTATTTGCGACTTTATGTGACGGGTTGAGCACCTATTTGCAACCTAAAAATAATCAATCGGTTTTGAGAAATTAAGATTAGTTTTTATTGTATTATATATGTTAACGGTATATAGTTTTATATACTAGACAAAATAAGTGATTATATATTATTTATGTGACAGAAATTTAAACAGACAATATATATTTTATTTTAAATAAAATATAACATCTATTTTATATTTCTTTCACAATAAGTATAATCATTATGTATTTTGTCTATCAATATATAAATATATAGTTTACATATATAACACAATAAAAAGTAATCTCAACTTCTCAAAATCAGACGATTGTGTTTTATAATATAAATATAAAGCACCAAGAAAGAAGGTAATAAATAAAAACAATGTAAATATATGTTTTTGTTGCTATACATTAGCCTTTTATTTTCTCTTTATATCTCTTTCTCACTCAATGTTAATAAATGTTATCAAAATACGTAACACTTAAAATCGTCTAAATTATCAAAAGTATATCAACATAATAAAATATACGGTTATTATTTTAAAAATAAACAGTCTTTCTCTTAAAAGAATATTATATTATAAAGAATTGTTATATGTGTGAAAAATGTAAGTGTGAAAATAAAAATATATTCTGTACACATATATAATGCACATTATGCACGTATTGCACATATAAAAAGTAAATAAAACTAATCTTTGTACTATTTATGAAACCTTTAAAATAGTTCTTATCTTTTGGTAATTATAATGTTTAGTGTTCATCATTTGATGAACGTTCATCATTCAGTTCATCACTTTCTGAATCATCTGACGATGAGTTTGAACTTAATGGGGGCGTTTCCTCCTTTCGACATTTTTTATCTTTCCTAAAACAAATAACAATAAGAGATATCATTACATACAAAGCGCATTGAAAAAAGGATAAAGTTCAGATTGCAGAAGATGCACAAAATATATGCATATATACATATAATAGTCATTAATATAGATACTCTTTTCCATGGGTCTCTGTTAAACTAATTTCTATTTCTATTTCAATTAATGTTATATATGTATATAAGTGTGTGTGTGTGTGTGTGTGTGTGTGTGTGTGTGTGTGTGTACATACATACATATACATATATACTTATATACATATATAACATTAATTGAAATAGAAATAAAAATTAGTGCAACAGAGACCCACGGAAAAGAGCATGTTGCAATTATATTAATAACTATTTTGATCATAACATAGTCAATTAAAACACTCAAGCAATTTGTATATATGTAATAAATTATCACATTAGAAAAATTCCACATTAAAGAAAAAGAAATTTTTTATTGACTTTTAAACTTACTCAGATTTTCTTTGTGCTCTTTGTTTTGCATGTTTTAACCATTCTGCAGCAACAGAAGAAATTTGCTCACACGTAATATCTTAATGTCGCATTTGAACAACAACTGAAAGTTATAAAGCAAATGTAAATGCTAAAAGAAACAACAGTGAGTACAAATATTTTAGTAAAAAAAATGTATTTATTGCTTTTGTGTATAAATAGATAAAATTTAAATGAATTTCAAAAAATTAAAAAAACTTGGTCAAATATAGCATTATAATACACAGCAACAATAATTAAAATTCGCAAAGTATATATACATTTTGTGAAATATAGAATTTGAAAATATTCAAAAAATTAATATAAAATATGTTACATTTTTATTATAACGATTAACTTCAGATTTTAATAATAAACTTTTCTTATAAAATATTTTTGAGACAATGTCTTCATATCTTTTGTGTCATGAAAACTGAAAATTCTTAAGCATACGAATTCATATTATGTATTAACAAAATGTCTGATAAGTGTTGCTACAATACTAGCGTGCATATAGAAAAAATAAAACTAAACAGATCTTCACCATTTTGCAAACTATATAAAATATAACAAAAAATTTTATATAATTTTTATAACATTAATATATATATATATATATATATATATATATATATATATATA